TGCGATAGCTTCCACTGAACAATCCTAGTCGTCGCAGCCTCTCCTAGTAGGACAGATTGCGCATTCCAGTTACGTTCTTAGATGCCCGGCGTTGAGGCTGCTCCAGTGCATTAAGGTCGTGTTTCAGCCATGGATGCCAGGCTTGAATTGCGTATTCGACATGGGGCCGAACATATGCACTGAGCATTTGTCGAAATATGGAGCTGTTTATTTGTCCAAACGCCCGCCTCAACAGCCCACGGTGTTGATTCCCGGTCTTCGAGGCCTTTTCGGATTGCCTGGAGCAACCCAAGTCATCTTGAACCAGGACACCCAAGTCACGTTCGAGAGTTGATTGTTGCAGTACATCCGTTCCGAGTCGGTATGAGTAGCTGCGCTGATGTCGGATGGAAAGCACCTTGCATTTACTGACGTTGAAATGCAATAAGTTTTGGATCGACCATTGATACACTGTATCTAAGTCACTTTGGAGCACATGTTGGTCGGCGTTCGCCTGGATCCTGCGCCAGATCTTGATATCGTCGGCAAACATTAGGAAGTTTGAAGCGATTTCCTGTGCAAGGTCATTAATAAACACCAGAAACAAACGTGGACCTAGAACCGAGCCTTGCGGCACACCACACTCCACTTGTATGGAGTCCGATAATGAGCTCCGAACTCTGACCACTAATTGCCGTTGAAATAGAAAGTTGGCGATCCAGCTTAAAAGAGGGTCTCCGATCCCGCAATGCTGCAGCTTGGATAGTAGTATCGATGGTCTAGACGATCGAAAGCCTTGGAAAAATCCAGGTAGATCACATCAACACCTTCTCCAGCGTCGGCTGCCTCGGTCCAACTACTGCGTGCAATTAGTAAATTAGTTGTACATGACCGCTGTCGACGGAAACCGTGCTGTTCAGGAGTGATGAGGTTGCAGTTTTCCAGATAGCACACCAGTGCATCGGCAACTATGGATTCCATGACCTTGGAGAGTATAGGAAGAAGGGTTACTGGGCGGTAGTTGGAGGGATCAGATCTGCTTCCACCTTTGTGAATCGGGCTTATTATTCCAAGCTTCCACATGGCGGGAACTTGGTTCTGGTCTAAGCAGTGCTGGAAAAACTGAGCTAAATGTCCTGCCAGTTGGTTTGCTGCTGCTCCCAATGCCTCTGGACGAATGGCGTCGACACCCGGCGAGCTGTGTTTGCGTAGAGAAGTCAGCTTTTGCAATACAGCCTCTGCGGTAAAATTGATGTGGGTTAGTCTTGGTGAGCAGAAGACAAAGCTTGGTAGATCGCTTGGTGGCAAGACCCTTTGAAACGTGGGGGCGTATTGCATCTGCAGCGCGTTTGCAGCTTCCATAGACGTTCTTGTTGGGCCATCAGCCGTCTTGAGTGGAGGAAATCCTTGCCTCACCATTCGTAGGCCATTAACGTGCTTGTACAGCAGTTTGTGGTTAGCACTGAAGGTTTTTGCGATGTTCTGCTGATAGGCGGCTTTGTCTTCTCTTAACAGTTGAGTGCAGTGGTTACGTTGGGCTACGTAGTTGTCCCACGTTTCTGGTGCTGGAGCTTCTCTGTACACTCGCCATGCTGCGTTGCGTACTGTCATCCATTTTCGGGTTCTGCTCCTAACGAAAGAAACGGATTTGCACTTATTGTAAGCTTTTATCTCTGAAGCCTGTGCAATCAGCAGACTGAATGTGTTGACGAACTCGAGCCAGGCGACTTCTGGGGGTTCTTCTTCGAGGAAAGACCATGTTGTGGCGCTGACTAGCTGGGCGAGTCGGTCGTACCTTGTGATGGTTCGCACAGTATCATCTTTATCATTCCGATATTCTGCATAGCAGACGAAGTTGAAACTGATGACTGCGTGATCACTGCGACCCAACGGGCAGTCTAAAACCAACGCGTCAATAATATGCTCCTCGTTGGTAAGCACAAGATCCAACACAGATGGCCTGTTACCAGTTCTGAACCGAGTGGGCAAAGTGATGTAGTTGTAAAGAGGAGCAGTAGTTACTAGATCTTGTAAATCGGTTTTGAATTGTTCGCCGGTTGTGGCAGGGGCTTCTAAACAATGTACGTTGCAATCACCCATGATAAGAATGTGAGTGTACTTTTGTATAAACTGCACCTTAAGCAGTAATTAGGTGGTAGTCGGTTTCCGGTGTTGAGTTAGGGGCGCGGTACATCAAGATAATAAGGCAAGCGTCCCTGCCTTTTAACTGCAACCGGCACCAAAGAGAGTCGGGGAACTGCGAGTCTGAATCCTCCACGGCTTCGCACTGTAAGTCGTTTCGGTAGTACAGGATTACCCCTCCTCCTTTTGTGAGCCTGTCGTTCCGGATCAGCGACATGCCGGGTAGCGACACTTCAGCGTCCGTCATTCCCGTGTGCAACCATGTCTAGGTGATACCAATGACATCATACGAGCCGGAAGCTTGGCGATCTTTCAGTTCAGCCAGTTTGTTAGAAAGTCCCTGAGCATTTGTATACAAGCAGGCCAGTTTCTCGGTCTCTAGGAGCCCGCAGGGAGGTGAAGCTGTCAAGTGTGGGAGAATGCCGACCGATGGGAGGTCGGCAGTTATTCGTCTTTTTGATGGGTCAATGATACCTCGTTTGCAACTTGATTCGGCCAAGGTGCGTCCCAGCCTTCGTTTAGACCTACTTCAGAGTCAATTAAAGCAGCAGTCAAGTTACACTTATGTACATTCGTCAGTATGCTTGCTGCTTCAGTTGCTTTAATACTTGAGCTGTGCAAAGGGTTTGCGACCTTTAACCGAATTTCGGAAGGAAGATGTTTCCGATTTCTTCGCCATCGATCCAAAACATCCTTTGCTTGTTTCTCTGACTGAACCACAAGTTTTAGGATTCTAGGGCCGCATCCTCTATAATTCGATGAGAGAGGTATCCTGGTGAGCGATAGTGCCACAACATCATCCAAAGAAAGTGTTTCACGAATGAACCGCCACTGTTCTAAATCGTGCTTTCCGGTATCTTGAACATGGTTAGAAGGATGTTCTGGCACTCCATGTATGAAGACTGTGTTTAGGCGGTCTTGCTTGCTGTGCCCCTCTTCGGTGTTTCTTTTTGATTGTCGCGCGCTCCAAGGGACATCAGGATAGATACGTATCGCACAGGATTCGTGTTTTAGCGCGCTTGCGGAGAGCACAACATTTTCCACGTCGGTGGAGGATTCTAGAGTTACTCGAATAAGTCTGGGTTCACCATAGTGTGGCGAGTTCGGATGACGAGTAATTCGTAACAAGTTTATGGGCTTGGCTCTGATACTCATCTGCATACACAGTGAGTTCCATTGGTCTTGGTCGTCTGATAACTTATCCCGCAATGTGATGGCGGTAGATTCAGGGACATTTGAGCATACAACAGTCCGGGCACTGTTGTTGGATCCCTTTTTAATCGATCTACAAGGTATGGTACTCATTTGTCGTGACTTGTTGACAAGTGATTGTTTGCTGTTTTTCTCTCCATTTGCGTAAACGGTGTTTACAATGGAAGAGGACGCAACGGCGGCCTCTCGGTGGACCTTTGCAGCAATCTCTGCATAAGTAACTGGTGGAGGCTTAGTCTCGACAAGAGACATTTGAGCTACAGGTACCAAGAGTTGGTGTTTGGCTGCTCCATCCTTGTTAATACTAGATGTCAGGTCTATTGGAATTTGCTTAACCAAACGTTTTGAATGGTGCCTGATTTTCTTTGCTGTGAGTACTGCTTGATTCACGTAGGTACAGTCTGTTTTCGCCTGGCGTTCTACAAAAGTTGGAGAAGACAACGGAGATGGAGACGTGACTAATTGCGGTTCAGGGGAAGCGATTTGTTCAGCATTCCGTTGCTTAGCAGCCGCTACGCTTCTGTGGTCCATACTCGCTCCCATTGAAGTAATCTTATTGTTTATCCTCTGCTCTGCTTCTGCGATTAACCGGTCGCATTTCTCAGCTAGGATAAGCAAGCACTTAACGAGGGGGATGGTGGAACACGCAGTACAGAACCAAAATGCATCTTGGGAGCTATTTCGCTCCCGTAACTGTTGTTGGGACACATTTGCACATTTCGTATGGTACCATGCTAAACAGTTCGAACAAGCCAGACCGATTTTTTACTACCCGATGACATTCTCCTAACCCGCAAATGCCTTTCGATGGGAGTCTCTTCGGTTTCGCCTTTCTGCCATTCAATTTGGTGTCGTTACCTGACCCAGTGGGTTGGTTAGCGTTCTGTACTTTTACAGCTTTGAGAGCGGCGCACATCGGTCAGGCGAGCGTGGTGGTTGCAAGGTCAAATGAGCGGTCGGCGTGGTCGCGCGGTCCGTGTGACGGGTAATGCAGCCGCACTGGCTGACAAGGTCACAAGGAATGGCGAGACTGGTGGTAGCGCACTAAGTTATTTTTCCAAGTTCTTAGTTTAATTTCATACCGGAAGCTCAGATCACAGTTTCAGAAGGCAGATCAAGTTGCAATGAAAGTTACATTTGTACAGAAATTGTTTCCTTATTGGCCTAGCTAAAAAAGGACACTCTTGGACTCTGTTAGCTCGGGGGAAAGGAAATGGACTGCAAACAGAGTGGTTGAGGAATACAAACCAGAACTACCACCATGAAAAAATAGCGCTGCTGAACTCAAGCAATCGAAATTAATATCCCGCACCGATTGCTTAAGCGTATACTTAAGTGGCAAGTTAGTTACAATTGTACACAAGTAAACAGGAGAAAGCTGCACACCGCTACAACGTACGTACAATTTTGTGGAAATGGGGGAAAGATAGGTATTGAAAAAATAGTATTTCAAATATTCATGTTGTTAATTTGATTGGTAGTGCGCTCTTGAGTTAAGACAAACTTGTTCAGAATTTCTACTAGTAGATATTCCTCATAACTTTCCTGTCGAGGGGACCTTATGACTTGTTTTAAATGCAAGAACTTATAAATCAGTAAAAGTTCCCTCCTCTTCTCTGTTGTTAATTCACCTGACGACAGATGCGTGTTCTCTCTCCTTTTCTCAGCACTGTGGGCCACTCGTCTAACTGAGGATGTGCACGGAAACCGTGACCTATACACCCGAACCACACTTCGTGAGCTCATCCTGTACATTCTGTTCCTCGTCGTATTGATGATAAGTGAGTTGTGACGCTGGTTGTTCGCAAAAAACGTTTGGTCTTACCATGAGTTCGTGCAAAAGGTGCATTCGATTGCCCTACTTTATACGCTGGTCAATCGAAGGTTGTGTGAGATCAAGGTCATCCTCACATACACGTGAAATGGGTGCTCCTGGTTCATTTGGATTATTTCCCTTTACCCTCTCTCCATCTTCTCGCAGCGTTGTCAATGTACGCTGATTCGAACCGGATTTACCAACCCTACATAGTGATCCATCATAAGTGGAAATATCTTCTACGATTAGAATGTGGGCAATCACTAACCGTTTTCACTGGCATCCTTGATTAAGCGCAAACGGTTAACTCAATCACATTGAGCCGATTGCCTTCCTGTGTGACACCATTGGATACGGAATTCTCGAGGCAGGCCGAAAAGCCTAAGCTTATTCCCATCCAGCGTTTCTCAACACAGTTGTGAAAGAATTTGTGATCTCTCAATCTGTGTTCAGCGCTGTGTTCAGATTCAGTTATCAGGTTCCAGTCACTCGCCATTCCTTGTGACCTTGTCAGCCATTGCGCCTGCGTAACCCATCACACGGACTGCGCGACCACGCCGACCGCTCATTTGACCTTGCAACCACCACGCTCGCCTGACCGATGTGCGCCGCTCAAAATACAAAACGCTAACCAACCCACTGGGTCAGGTAACGATACCACATCGGATGGCAGAAATGCGAAACCGAAAAGGTTCCAGGCGAAAGGCATTTTCATGCTAGGAGAATGTCATCGGGTAGTTAAAATCGGTCTGGCTTACTCGCACTTTTTGGAATGGTATCATACGAAATGTGTAAATGTGTCCCTACAACAGGTACGTGAGCGAAATATCTCCCAAGATGCACTTTGGTTCTGTACTGCGTACTCCACCATCCCACTCGTTAAGTGCTTGCTTATCCTAGCTAAGGAGTGTGACCGGTTAACCACAGAAGCCGAGCAGAGGAGAAAGGATAAGATTACTTCAATGGAAGCAAGTATGCACCACGGAAAGGTAGCGACTTATAAGCAGCGGAATGCTGCACAATCCGCTTCCCCTGAACCGCAATTAGTCACGTCTCCATCTCCGTTGTCTTCTCCAACTTTGGTAGAACGTCGGGCAAAAACAGACCGTACCTACGAGAATCAAACAGTACTCACGGTAACAAAATTCAGGCACTACTCGAAACCTCTGGTTAAGCAACTTCCACTAGGCCTGGCATCTAGCATTAACAAGGATGAAGTAGCCGAAAACCAACCCTCGGCACCTGTAGCTCAAAGGTCTCTTGTAGAGACAAAGCCCCCCGGAACATCAGTTATATATGCAGAGATTGCTGCAAAAGTCCACTGGGAGACCGCCGCTGCCGCCCTCTTCTGCCGTAAACACCGTTAAGGCGAACAGAGGGACAAACAGCAAACAATCAACACTTGTCAGCAGGTCAAAACAAACGAGTACCATACCTACTGGATCAAGGAGAAGGGGATCCAAAAATAGTGCCCGGACTGTTGTATACTCAAATGTCCCTGAATCTACCGCCATCACATTGCGGATTACGTTTTCGGACGACCAAGATTAATGGAACTCATTGTGCGTGCTGATGAGTGTCAAAGCCAAGCCCATAAACTTATTACGAATTACTCGTCATCCGAACTCGCCACATTATGGAAATCCCAGAATTATTTGAGTAACACCAGAATACTCGACCGATGTAGAAAACGTTTTGCTCTCCGCAAGCGCGCTAAAACACGGATCCTGTGAGATACGCATCTATCCTGGTGTCCCTTTGTGCGCCCGACAACAAAAAAGCAACACCGAAGTAGGGCACAGCAAGCATGACCGCCTAAACACAATCTTCATACATGGCGTGCCAGAACATCCTTGTAAAGATGTTCAAGATACCGGAAAGCACGATTTAGAAGAGTGGCGGTTCATTCATAAAACACTTTCTTTTGATAATATTGTAGCGCTATCGCTCACCAGGATACCTCTCTCACCAACTTATAAAAGATGCTACCCTAAAGTCCTAATAATGGGGTTTAATCAGAGCAACAATCAAGGTATGTTTTGGATCGATGGCGGAGGAGTCGGAAATGTCTTCCTTCTGAACTTCGGTTAAAAGTGACCTAAGCTTTGTACAGTGCAAATATTAAAGCACCTGAAGCAGCAAGCGTAGTGACGAATGTGCAGAAGCGTAACTTGACTGCTACTCTAACTGACTATGACGTAGGTCTAAACGTTCCAGAACCCACTAGCGAATCGCTAAAAGGTAGACAAGCCGAGGAGCAAAACTGGTGGGCTGAAATAACCAGCGCACTCGGACTGAAAGTTTTCCCAACTAGTCTTACACTCCTTTCACGAAATCCATCATCTCCACACGTAGGGGGAACCTCGGTTACTGCGAGTAACTTTTGGCAACACACTTGACCTGGAAGATGTTTTCTTAGCAAGCCACATGCTAGTGAACTCTTCTGTCAGTGCCCGCATTTTTCCTGACAGGCCATGGGCAGAAAGACAGAAGCATAAATCCAACCCTAGTTCGTCACGTCAAAATGAGATGAAGAAAGTAGTACTGGTTCATGGTGTGCCAGAATTGAAGCATGATGATAGCCGTGAACGACAGAAACACGACATCGAAGAATGGCGGTACATCGCAGAACTATACGACATGCAGAATGTCGTGGTTTCTGAGGTCACACGTCTAACTGCTTCCACAAACTACCAAGATAGCGGGCCACGAATTTTGAAAGTTACCTTGGCTGCGCCCGAAATGGTATCAGTGGCAATCCAAGCATGGCATGACAACAGGAAACTTGGGCCACCAGGATTATGGTTAAGACCATTCCTTCAATTAGTACAGACCTCAGATACAGATGAGCCAGCCTCAATGGTACCCATCTTAAACCAGCCAACTGTGCAAACAACTGTTTCAAAAAACTTCAGCAGACCGGTACTATTTGTGCGGGTCACTCACAGCGAAGCGAGCTCCTGATGCGTCAACAAATACAATGCTGCTACACCAACACTCAGGGGTTGTACTCTAAGCTCTCGGAGCTGCGCCACCGACATGAAACAACAACTTGGGACCTCATAGCAGTCACTGAAACTTGGCTCTCAAACGACATACTTGATCCGGAGATTGAACTCAGTGAGATGTCAGTCATTCGAAATGATCGTCCATCTCGCGGGGGCGGTGTTGCTCTCTACTATCGAGATTATCTGAAATGTGAGGCACTTACCGAAAATTCCCTTGTTATTCCCGACGCACTGTTTTGCCGACTGCACCTAGCAGGTCGAGATGTTGGTTCACAGAAGAAGAGTGATGCTTGCCTCAGCAGTTATTTATAGACCTCCGAACTCATCAGCAGACAGCGATAACATTCTGTTAAACGCCCTCCGCTATGCTGTTTCACAAAAGTACTCTCACTATCTTATAATGGATGACTTTAACGTTCCTTCAATAGCATCAATGTCCCCTAATGGGCCATCATTTAAATCGAAACTCCTCGAATTCATGGATATGGCAGTTTTGTATAACCATGTGCATCGACCAACCAGACATCGCGGTTCAAACAAGCCATCACTCCTGGACTTAATCCTGACTAATGAAGAGTTGATGGTTGAGTCAGCAGCATACGATCCTCCACTGGACCATAGCGACCATTCAGTCCTAACATTCGGTTATGTATGTTATGCCAGTATTGTTGCTAAAGAAAGAGAGACTCAACGCACTATTACGGACTATTATAAGTTGCGCAGCTTAGCAGCAACCGTTGACTGGGACCTACAGATGCACAGCTCAGCGAATGACGCATGCAATGAATTGAAAGACAAAATTAACTTGGTCATACAATCAGCATCGAAGGTTGTACCATTACGACCATCGCGCCGGACCAATACGTGGATCCGGAGCAGAACACGTAAATGGATAAACAGAAGAGATGAAGCCTGGAGGCAACATTTGTTAAACCCATGTGATATCACATGGCAGGATTATAAAGTCATCAGAAACTACTGCACGTCACTCATTAGAGTCAAAAAGTACGAATGGGAGGAGAATATGGTGCTGAAATTTACGAGTAACACCAAACTACTATGCAGATTTGTGAATGGCAAAAGAAAGGTTAAGCCCGGAATACCACCACTCAGGACGGCCAGTGGCCTAACAACTACTGCTGTGGATGCCGCGAATGCTCTACTCTTACAGTTTGGCTCGTTAGCTATAAATGTCATGGAACCTTCGCCCTATCAACTCCAAACAAATGTCGTTGGCTTATCCAGCGTCACCTTTACTCCAGCAGCTGTTGCAAGCAAACTACAGTCTCTCCGGAAGTACAGTGCCCCTGGAATCGACATGATCTGCCCAAAAGTACTAAAAACCCATGCTCCCACCATAGCAACACCACTTGCAACTTTTTTTCCAGTGTCTGCTTAACTCCCGTACACTTCCATCCGAGTGGAAAAATGGAATTATCACTCCAATATATAAAGGAGGTAAGCGCTCGGATCCTGCTAACTACCGACCTATTACTCTCCTTCCTGTTTTGTCAAAAGTTATGGAATCGGTAATCGCAGATGAACTGACGAGATACCTTGAAAGTCAACAGATAATTTCTAATGCCCAACATGGTTTCCGACGCAGACGATCTTGTCTCACCAATTTGCTGATTACTCGGGATTTATGGACCAGGGCGGCTGATGAAGGAGTGCCCATAGATGTGATATACCTGGATTTTTCTAAAGCATTCGACAGGGCCAATCACTTCTTTCCCCTCCAAAAGCTTGCTGCCTACGGTATCAACGGTTCCCTGCTCACCTGGTTAGAAGACTACCTACACGACAAAGCAATCAAGGTAAGAGTAGCCGACACCTATTCCGAAAGCCTTTACGTCTCCAGTGGTGTTCCACAAGGATCCGTCCTCGGCCCGCTACTATTTTTAGTCTACATTAATGACTTCCCAGCAGACATTCTATCTCCAATGCAAATATCTGC